ATAGATGGAAAATGAAAGACAACCCAAGGATGTAATGAACATTAATGTACAGAGCCTTTCGTTCTGCTGAACATGGTTCAAATTGAAAACAGACGCTGAAAGAACGCTGACAATTTTCTGCTCATGTTTAGCTCTGCCCGCTATAATCCATTTTCCCTTTATGCTTCGCTTACTATTCCTCCTGACAAGCTATCTCAAAGCAAACGGAGAATCCAGGTCAAATGAGAGAGTAAACAAACTAACAAATGATGATCAGACAGAACGGCATGAACCTACACACATTTAGATACACTCTTGTACAAGATAAAGCACAGAGTTGTCAGAACTTCTGATGAGCTTGTCATCTGATAATAGTTCAAATATCGGAGACAAATCTTTTGTTGGTTTTCATACCAGGTTTGAGCTAAGAAAAGCCACGAAAACAATCTACTCATAGCAGTAAGTCTAGGCGCATGAAGCCAAAACATATCAAAGATCATGAGGCTAAATTCCACGAACATCACCAGCTTTCCTGCAGCGATCAGTTTGAAGATATCCAAATGACAAAGGGTCCAAAAATAAGACTTACCCCAAATAAAAAAGGAACAAAGAGCAAAGACACAACTTCCTCAGGGTCTCAGTCCTGTTAACTCTATCCCTGCAGGAATTACAATTACCACATCTGCAGAGAATGAACCATTCAAACACACTCAGATGCCAAACACACACCTCTATCTAAACCAGACAAGACAGAAAAACAAGAATCGGTTGAAAGGTGTGCCTCTGGACTGAAAACCATTGGCCATGCGACACTTAGGGGTGGATCGATGGGTGTTGCTTAAGCTGTGATTGGACAGCAAAGATGCAGGGAGAGGCTGGCTGTGCAGACTGGGGGCTCCAGACTGGAGGCCAATCAGGGGGTAGAAGAAATTTTTTTTTTTGCAATTTAGGTGTTTGGCTGTTACTGCAGCTGCTGATACTTCACATCACTGGCCTTGGTTTCCCAGGAGAAAAGTAGGGCCAAAGTCAACTGTCCAGTAGATACAAGCACCAGGGTCTCCCGAAAATGTGTCAATACAAAAAGTAATGTGAAATAAAATAGAAGATTGCACCCTTTGTTAGGAGGAAAAACACTGGTGATGTCAAACTAAGGCTACATTTACACAACTGTGTTTATTTGAAAACAGTTATTAGATAAATGGGATCTACACAATAATTATCTGATACTTATTTGTTTGCTTAGTGTGGGACCAAACATAAATAACAATGGTGGAATGAGGAAGTAATTTGAGAGTTAAACTGATATTTGTGTTAAAAGAGCTCATTGTTTACAAGCATTTATTTGTCATTTATTAGAACCAATCAGAAAATTAAAGTATCACTGTCTTGAATGTCTGTGTTTATCCAAACCAAAAGCCATCTCTTTTTTAAATCAAAACGTAGCCTTATAGAGACCTGTAAGCATTGGCACACTGCAAAATCACCTCAGTGAACAAAGCAGAAAATACACCACACACACTGCAGGTGTTGGACAAAGTACTGATTCCCACAGCCTTAAAATCATGTGTAAGCCAGAAAACAGCTGCAGACATAAACATAAACATAAACATAAACTTAATCCTCCAAGAGACATCAAAAACAGTGCAGTCAATCCACTTAAGATGAATGACAGACTTTTCAGCTCATTTACACTTCTAATTGTCTTTCCACACAGCTCTCTGCAAGGAAACAAAACTAGAAATACCCAAAAAAATGTGTGAATGGAGCCTGTTTTTGTCTTTCTTATGTGTTATGTAGGGGGAGTGGGGTAGTGGGGTGTAGAGAAGCAATGTTGCATGTCCTGTATCAAAAACCACCTTTTTAATGTATATGTCTTTCTTTGCATAAACATCCCAGAGTTTCACGGTCTCACACTGTATGGTAATGAAACTTTTACATAATCACTGACAACAACAAATACTTCTCTTGTTTAAAGAAAAAGTCCTTAGAATATTCATTGAGATTATTTTTTTATTATTATTAATCTCATGTAAAAACAACTGCCAACCAGCCATTTATAAATATATTTTAACTGTGCTCATATGGTTTTTGGCTTAAATTAGTACTACAAATATTGGCCTGCAGAGGGTGCAAGAGACTATTCATTATAGCCTTGCAACACAACGTTCTTAGTAGAACGCAATGCTAATAGCATTACATATTTTAACTGCCACTTATATCAGAAACCAAAAAATCCGAGACTAATTAGATTTTTTAAAGAAATCTTACGACTGGGATTAAACCTTTATAATGACAAAAATATGTTAGGTAAAAGCTAAGACAATCACAATATATCATCTATTAGATTGTTAATAGCCTGTTTAACAACTAATTGCAATATCAACAGATTTTCAGTGTTTTGTTTTCAATCACTAAGTCTGTTACCTGCGTCTGGGTACATCCTGATCAATAGGACTTTGTGGTGAGTACGATCCTGGAGGAGTTGGGGTTCTGCTGGACAAAGAGCTACTTCTGTATTCCTGAGGAGAGAACTCCTGAAAAGAGAAGGGGATAATAAAAAATGTACATAAGAATACCAAGCATGCTGTTGTTTGCATTTCAGAGAACTCAGGAGTAGCAGTGTTAACTCCTTACCTGGATGAATTTAAAAGATCCTAAAGTTAAATTTAGAGTTCCTGTTCAAATGGAGTTTCTTTCACTTAAGATAATACAAATTGCCAGTGTGCAACTTCTTTCTTTTTTCTTTTGAACTACTTTCATGATCTACAATCTCAAATCAAGTTTCTATTACATTCAAGAATTTCGCTCAAATGCAATTCACTGCTAGATAAAGATTATCTTAAAATGCGAACACGGCCAATTAGTGAAAGCTTAACCTGTAACGAGTACTGTGTCACTTTTCAAAGGTCAGTATTGACAATGCTCATTGCAGTAATTGAGAATCAGCCCAGTGTCATTGCAGTGTAGATTTGGCAGAACAGAAAGTTCACAAAGTGAGGACAACTGCACCCACACACTTGATAGTTTTGTTATTTTTATGGACATTAAAGTTATTTTTTTTCCAAATTCAAACACATTGATGTAAAGACCTGATCTGTTTTAATGACAAGAGAAATTGATTAAAAAAAACTTTTATCATTCTTATCTTGGTTCTTGTTTATAGTCTGAGCTAAATGTGAGCCTCACATCTGACATATGATTAACTATGTGGCAACACATTTTGGGCACCAACTCGTTGCAGAACTGGGTTTTAGTACCAGCATGTACTTCAATGAGTTCCAGATGCAATGCTAAAAACATCACAATTAGTCACAGTAAATACACAAACTTTTTCTGCAGTACAGAATAAGAAATTCCACACACTTGGAATGTTACAAGAGAGCTGAAAATTCACAGTACAGTTTCTCGAGGAAGGTAATGATATTTGACTTCAGACAGAAGAGGGCGCTGTGCACCCACTGAGCATTCTGAGCATGTATGCCAATTGAATTTTAATGCAAGTTGTTCTTAGCTGAATACCATAACAAGGGCACACACGCAATGTGAAAGTCTAAAGGTAGATCCGTGGAACTTTATTTATGCACACTGAGATCTGATTAGGCCACTATTGAAACCAAACACCGGTTCATGATAACATTAAATACAGCACACAGTCGAGGTTTACACAGCAGACACTTTACTAATATGTCACCATTTTATATACCTGGGACAAAAAAGTGCTCAAGTACTGCTTTTATAGCTTAACAAAATCACTAACAAAAAAAAACTGTTTTCAAAACAGTTCCACAACTTTGACTTTGCTGTGGAAACGGGGCCATTACTTTATTTTGATCTGTGCAGAGCCCAGGAAAACTTGCAGCCCACAGGCAGCTAAAAAGCACACAGAGTATTTCTCCAACAGTCAGCTGCTGGCACCAGTGTTAAAAAGGGATCCATCCAATGAAAACAGGTCTCCACCCGACACATGGTCAGAGGCTGGGGCTAAAGCCAATGCTGGAGCCTGTAGATGACACATTGGCACCAAGAGATTTGTCCGGGATTGTGAGTGCAACGCCAATTCCTACTTTCAATTCAGGAGTTGTTCTTTCCCCCGAGATTAGGCAGATAAGTGGTGCATGCCAGGAAGCCCTTACCAGAAGTGATCATCATTGGGATGTCTCCCTGTGATTCCTCCCAGGATAAACCCAGCATAATAAGTACAGGCTCATAAGATCATGTATTCTATATTATCAGGCTGCAGGAGTACAGACAGCAGTGTCCTCTCCTGCTGTGAACCAATCTCTACAACATATACCTCAGGGATATGCAAGCTTATGGAAGATCTGAAAAAGTTACACCGTATGTGCAACAAAATCAAAACTAGTGTAAACCAAACCTAGTTACAATAAGTTATATAAGTGCCTGACCACTGAATGTGAACCCTTTGCGCCCCATGTGGGAGCATGTGGGTAAAAAGCAGAAGTTTAATCTACGGGACTCAAGAGGAATGCAATGAAGCAAAAAAAAAAAAAAAAAAAAAAAAAAAAAAAAAGGAAGGACTGAAAGAAAACAAACGCTTCACTATGACAGTTAGAATTGTGTTATAATTGACCAATCACAGAACGTTGGAAAAATTAAATAAAAATGTAGGGAGCACTTTTCCCATTATCCATGTGTTAACTAATGCCATGGCTTTAACAGCAGTGACAATGGTAGGGCTGAGTCTTTTTCTGCTTTCCTCAAATCATTTATGTTCAGCTTCATTTTAGGCCAATATATTATTGCACGTGTCAAACGTCAGAGCTGGAAAGCTCCTGGTAAAATGGCACCATGGCACTGCCAACAAAGCTTCTATGTCTTGTGCACCAGCAATTGTAGGGAGGGGCACATACAGGCTGGGGGCAGCCTGTTATTTTGTCTTGGATGGGAGCTCTGGTTCAGAGATTGAAGAGACCACTGGAGAAAAATCCATTGCCAATTCTTCCCAGTTCCTGTGGCCGTCTGGAGCAGGAAGCTCTGATTAAAGCTGCACTGAACTGTAATCAAGAGTTCATACTCAACATACCACTGACTTGCCCTAATGATCCTGAATGTCTTGTACTGGCCTCTAGCAATATATATTCTCAAGTGGACAAAGCTTGGATCAGAAAAAGGGGTGGAACTCATCACCACAGCTATGCAACATCTAAACCAATGTATTAGCAAGTTAGAAAACATAACATGCACCTCCAAGACTACAGAGCCGGTTTTAGGCTTTAAGGAAGGCAGACATGGGACCAATACTGGCACCTTTATTGGTGGGACTGTGTGGACTGCATGTGACTGATTTCCACTTTTGGAAGTGCAGATGAACGAGAAGCTGACCTACAGTGAAACTACCTCTGAGCTGCTGAAAAAAGACTGCACATCCTGAGGCTCTTTGGGAGAACAACATCACTCAAAGACTGCTGGTATTGATGCTCAATGGAGAGCATCTGTATGTACTGTATCTGTGGTATGACAGCTGCACAGTGACCCAGACAAAAGCACACCAAAGGGTTGTAAACACGGCACAGAAGATCACTGGCTGCTCCCAGCATAACCTAGAGGAACTGCACTCAAAAAAAAATCACAGAACATTCAGAATTCTCTGCATGCCAAACACTATTTGTTTGAACTGTTCAAAGCACAGTTTAATCAGAATAAGTACAAAAATATTTTAAAACAATTTCTTCCCCAAAACAATAGTCACACTTGACAAACCATATTTCATAATGTTTTCTCCAGTAAAGATCAGTGTAATTGAGTACTGACTTGCTTTTTTAAATATTTGTTTAATAATCATTTTTCTGGTTGCATTAACAATAAACTTTGTTTTGCATTTGACCACTTTATTTTGCATTTCTTAAATACATTTATGTTATGTATGTCACACATTTCATCTGCCGATCCTGGTCCGATGGATCTTCACTGTAGTGTTTATTTGATCGGGTTTTTTGAACAGTTATTTAAAGGCAAATTTGCCACTTAGCACTTTAACATCTCTAAAAGGCATATTCCTTTTGTAGCTAGCTAATATGATGGTGCCTAAGAAAGTATTACACTTCTTGACCACACATAAATAACTGAACCCCTTAGGTTATCCTTAAAGGATAAATGTCGTAAGACAGCATTAGAGTAAGGGGGCTGTTACCAGTCAAAACAGACAAACAGAATCATTCAAAAAGGACTGAAGCTGCTCCAATAGGCCACTTCAAGGCAGGAATAAACAGGAAATAGTACTGCGTATTAAAGCCAGCTGTTTTACATCACAGCACACATCTGCCGTTAGGGATGGTATCAATGGAAAAGCCTTTAGTCCGGCTCTAAACAAGCCACTTTTCATCATTTTGATCACAACCATCATCATCATCATCATTGCCACCCTGTAGTTCAATTACAGGGCATGGTCCAACAACAGACTTGGGTGATATCTAGTGGAGCTCCATTTGTTTGTGGAGGACTGGTGCTGCTGTAAGAAGGCATAATGACTACTCACTCATTGTCTCCACCGCAGACATGACTGTGAAACTGAAATGAAGGAGGGGACACCAGACCTACTAGGCATAGTAATAATCAAAGCCGTGCAGTGTTTTAATTCACTGTGTGCGGTGATGAAGGTCCAGAGCTAAGACTTCAGGCAAACATATATTTATCATTATCGACTGTCACTGATGCATCCTGCCTTGTAATTATGTTAAAGCATGACATCACTATTTTGTCTGAAAACTGTAGTAAAAACACTCATGTCTACGTAAGGCTAGGACAACAATTCCAATAAATGAACAGAGAAATGATTAAAAACCATTTAAAAAACTGTCCAAAAAGAAGCTTAAAACAATATTTAAAGAAATTAAATAAAAATAAATTTGTACTATATTGATCCCATACTTGGGAAATTGTTAAGCTGCCCCTAACAACTGCCAAGCATGTGGTTCCTCTGGGAATCGAACCCAGGACTCCCTGCTTCCAAGGCAGGTGTGCTAACAGCTATACTATGGAACCAACAATAACCATAATTTAGATTTCTTAGTGGTCTTCTATGTTAAAACACCCAAGATATGGACTAAACCATTTGTTTAATTATTAGATGAGTGACTTAATCTATCCTTACAATTACGGACTTGATAAAAGTATTTCATAATTTACTGCACAGTGTACAGTGACACCATAATAAATATCAACTCCGAGAGTGAACCCATCTGCTTTGCTTTGAAGCAAATGTAATTATATGGGTTTGTTTGCATTCAGAATTCGGTTCAAATTAAGCATAGCAGTGTGGACTTTCATAAAAAAGAAGGCTGAAGAATAACAAAAGTTTTTACAAATTGTTTTAACAGTAGAGTTTATTGATCAAGATCTAGAGAAATTGTTTTGATTAAAATTAAAATTGTTAAGCTAAGTGTGGAGAAGAAGGAAGAGATTATCCTGTGCCTCTATAGTACCTTTTGCTCAAAGAAAAAGAGTGTAATATATTAATGACGAAGATGTGTTCTTGTTTCAAGATGCAGAAAAAAAACAAAACATTTATTATCCT